CTTTAGGAATTGAGAATTAAATTAAAAATTAAAAGTGGCCAGCTCCCGATTAGACCAGGAGCTCGCTGCTTCCAATCCTGAGCTGAGCTGAGTGTGCTGATCTGGTCATGGGCTGCCAGGGTGACTAAACTGGCCCTGACCTGTCCAGCGCAAGGGAGTCGAAAACTAGCCAGGGTTCCTGCACCCTCTACTTGCGGTGCCTGTGTGTGGCCGCTGGCTGGGAGAGGTTAGGCTGGAGTCTGACGCCCTGTTACGGTTGAGTAACCTGCTGAAAAGGCTCTCAAATGGGTAATGGCCACATGGGGTGGGGAGTGCTGGTGGGTCCCATTTACCACAGAGAGAGGCCACGCCATAAATAATAATAAATAACTAATCTTTGCATTTGATATAGAGCCTTACCACGTAGTTCTGACATCTCAAAGCGTTTCACAGAATAGACTGTAAAGTGAATTAACTGTATATTTTGTGGGCGAAACGCGGAAGCCAATTGTGCACAGCAGCGTCCCACAAACAGTCTTGGATTGAGTGATTAAATCATTAGTAGTATTTTTTTTAGAGGGATTATAACCCACAAAAAGCAATCCGCCAACAACCGGCTTCCTACTTGTTAGGTAAACAGAGGTGGGTGGAGCAAGGAAACTTGCCTAAGGTTTCACCAGAGGCAGAAACGCTTTTGTGCCAGTCGGGAGATGATGAAAAAATAATTATGAATTAGACATGAGGATGTATTCTGCCAAAAAACCCCAAACGATGAATTTCCTGCTCTGTTTGATTACCACATAGGGAGTCTAACAATAGCATTGCGGTCTCTGTCACAGTTAAAAAAACAATCCCACGGCACTCTGTAGATTGCGATCTAATCCTCTTTTGAATTTATTTGACACAATCTGTCTCCGTCACCTCCCTGTAGCTTAACTCCCTCCAGCTCGCTCCCTCTATCTCCATTTGAAAAAATGTCTAAAAGCCTATCTCTCTGATTGCTCTTTCAGCCGCACCCCCCCAGCCACCATCTCTCACCCAACTCAAGCCTCCCATTACGTTTCCATAGTGTGTTGAGAAGTTCTTATGTGTAAGGCGTTGTTTGATGTCTATTCCACACTCTACTCTCTGTTCAATGTACAGGGTGACCAAAAAGTTGTGATTTCTACCCTATTATCTAAAATATATCATAATTTCTTTAAGACTTATTAGACATTGTAATGGTATCATGACTTTTTGGTCACCTTGTAGTTATAGCACCTGCCTGTTCCAAGCTCCATTCGTGTCTCCTTGCCTTGGAGTGAGTATGTAGCCACATAAGGCATGTCAGGGTTCTGTTTGTCAGCTCTGTATAGCATCTCAAACCGTGTGCGATAGGCAAATGGGAGGAATCGGGGATGAGCAGGGAACAAACGCTCATCCGAGTTAAGATGGACCGTGCCTGGGTGCTTCGAATATTTATCGTAAAACATAGGAACAAGAGGAGGCCATTTAGCCCTTAGAGCCTGTTCCGCCACTTAATTAGATCATAGCTGATCTGTACCTCAACTTATCCCCTTGGTTCTGGTTTCAGCGCCTTGGGACGTCCTCCCGACGTGAAAGGCGCTCTATAACTGGAATTTTGTTGTTTGTTGTTGTTGTTGTTGTTGAAGCGTTTGGAAATGATACCTGAGATGCTCTGAGCTTGCCAGCGTTGACTGTCCTGGGCTGTTGCCCAGTTTGACGGTGTTGAGGAGCCTGCCCATTACCATGGCTTCCTCTTGTTGCAGCTGAATACCACTCGTATCAACCTCTCCACACAGCCACGCACTCACACACACCCTCAACTACCTCCCCACCTTCAAATTTCACCTAAAGATAATCCTCTTTGATGGTGCTTATGGTCACCTCCCCCCTCCTTCTCCCCCTGGCTCGGGGTCAGACTCTGCCACTGTCAAGCTCTCCAGGAGGCTACCCTACGTGAAGGGCACTATAGAAATGCAAGTTGTTGTTGATGCAGGGATTTGTAGGATGAATCTGCCCTGTGCTTCTCCCACCATCGACAGGCACTGTCACACGGTGAATGTCCCGAGGCACTGTGGTTCTCATTTTATGTGCCATTTAGAGGGATTGTTGAGCGATCAGCCTGGGTTCCTGCTCCTGGTCCCTGTTCAATGACTGCTGATCAGGGGGCTTTGCATTGGAAACTGCGCTCAGCTCTGGTGGTCATCACAAGCAACAAGCAGTAACAATTCTTGCGTTTGATTCTGCAACTGCAGCCTGCTTCACAGGGAATTGCTGGCAAGTGCAGTGACTGTGTATTTGTAGACCAGTCTGTAGACAACAGCAATGTCCCACTGATAGCCATGAAACTCCTCTTTGCAAAACTGTTGCAGGATCTTTAACGTCCACTTGACCGGATGGGGCTTCAGTTTAATTCCTCATTCAAAAGGACGACACTTCCAACAAAGCAACACTGTACTGCAGTGTCAGCCTAAGATTGTGCGCTCAAATCAAAAGGTGGGACTTGAGCTCAAAGCCTTGTGAGCCAGAGGTAGGAGTGCTAATGCCTAAGACAGGCTGACACTTAGTACTCTCCAAGAGGAATAATAAGAATAATAGTCCTTTCATTTGATATAAAGCCTCATCAGGTCTTTGAGACGTTTCAAAGCGCTTCACAGAATATACTGTATAGTTTGTGGGCAAAACGCGGCAGCCAATTGCGCACAGCAGCGTCCCACAAAAAGTCATGCATTGAGTGACCAATTTTTTTGAAAGGGATTATTACCCCCGGAAAAGCAATCCCGACAATCGACTAAACAACCAGGTTCCTACTTACTGCTGGTAAACAGAGGCGTGTGTGTGGAGTAAGGAAACTTGCCCAAGGTTTCACCCCATCGGGAATCAAACCCAGGTCCTCTCGCTTGCGAGTCGAGTGCTCTGACCACTGAGCTACAGGATTCCACAAGAGGATTGGCTTCTGGCATGATTTACTGAAGAGGGTAGTCACTACAGGAGAGAATAACAGTTAAGAACGGATGCACACGCAATATAGAGCTTTTTATTGTATCAAAAATCGGAAATAAACCAAATTGCCCTGGTAACATTTGTTTTGTCTCCGCTCCAGAAACAATTGCAGTCGTCTTCATCCAAATGGCAGGTGATTTAATCATTGTCCCAGTTCTCTGCGGTTACTGTCTATCTGTCTCCCTGGATGTCTGTTGCACTCTTTGATGTGAAATGGATAGGGAGAGGATTGAGCACATCAACTCCGCAGTGAAAGTAAATGTGCCGGCTGACTGCCAGGGTCTCGTACATCTCTTACAGAGCGAGAAGATAAAGGGAGCGTGGATTAGCAGAGAGAGGGAGCAATGGAATAAAGGGAACGTGGATTAGAGGAGTGAGAGAGATGGAATGAAGGGAACTTGGATTAAAGAGAAAGGGCGCAATGTGAAACCGACCACAGTTTAAAGGACAGAGATTGCTTTAAATATAACTGAAAAATGGAATGATTGAGTTGTAAAGCTAGATGTTTAGTATATCAAGGTGGAATCTTGCCAACTCAAGCCTCAACTGTGTCTGTTTGCCACTTCATGCCTCTGTCTGTCTCTCCAGGCCACTGCTGATGGCAGCACAGCCCGGCCTGGCTCAGTGCCAGGACCTGGAAGGGCAGACCAGTCACTGGGGGCAGGGAATCCTCCCACTCAGCTCCTGTTAACCCCGCAGCCAAAGCCCTAACGGGGAGGGTGGTCCTAGCTGGACAAGCAGCGGGAAAGCTTGCCAACCAGCGCTCTCCCTCAATGGCAAGCTGTGTGGTTTTGGGACGTCCTCCCGACATGAAAGGCCCTATACAAATGTAATCTTGTTGCTTTAGCTGGTTAGATTTCAGCCGTTACCCTAACTCTGCGGGTCCCCAAGCCTTGGCTTTTCTGCACCCTCCAAGTCACACCGTGTGCCCAGCCCTGCCTTTGTAGTCGAGCTGTAGCTTATTTGAATCTACTTGCTCTGGAAGTCATCTCCGCACTTCTGAGATCAGCTCCTCTCCACAACTCTAATTGGCAATTTAATTACTGACCGGGTTGTTTCGAGTTAGAAAGTGACCTCAATTATAAGGTGCCCCATCCTCTCCTCCCCACCCCCAGCCTGTAATAATTACAGTTATATAAGATGAGAAAAAAATCTATTTACAATAATCCTCAAAACAGTGAAAACTCCTGCAGTATATAATTTTAGAACAACAATCAATTTACTTTAATAAAGTGATGGCTATCATATCACGTTGTGCCAGCCTTTCACTCTCACTGATTCCTTACACTTTCTCTCGCTCTCTGTCACTCTCTCTTTCGCTCTTCCTCTCTGTAAGGCTCTCTCTCAGAACCTCTTCCTATTTTTTCTCTTTCTCAGAGTCTTGGTGTAAGTTTCTGTCACAGTGACTCTCTGTCACGCAATCTCTCTCTCTGAATATCTTTCTTCCCATTCTCTCATGACTTTCTTTTTCTCTCTGACTTTCTTTACCAGCCAAAGAAGAATCCAGGTGCATGTGAGTGAGAGAGGGATGTTACTAGCCTGAGGCTTACTTGTTTAGCATAGAAAATGAAAGAACCACAGAATATAGAAACGTGAGCGCTTGAAAAACACAAACAGGTTGAAGCAGAACCCGTGAAAGCTTTCAAAATGGAATTAAAATCTGCATGCAACTTGTTGCCAGGTTTCGTCCACAAAATACGCAGTCACTACACTTTACAGTATATTCTGTGAATATATCAAATGCAAGGATTATTATTATTATTATTAAACAAATTTTTGGAAAGGAAAAATGGGATCGGGTATGAGTGGAGGAGTGAGACTTACTAGGTAGCTCGTACAGAGAGCTGGGATAGGTTCACTGGGCTGAGGGCCTCCTGATAAATCCAACGATCTGCACATCCAGGGTATTAACTAAAAGGCTTGCACTGAGCTCAGCACGGTCCAGGAGTGGGTGGCTGCTGGTCTAAGTGACGCTCTGTATTAATCTGTTCCGTTTGTCTTGTCGCTTTTCACAGATATAAACATGGCCGGAGAACCCAAACCCTACCGCCCCAAAGCAGGGCAGAAAAGGCCCGTGACGGCTCTCTACGGGTGAGTACAGCCGGCCAGTCATTCGTTGCCTCCAGCACAAAGCATAGCCCATGCTTCCTGGGTGACATTAAACATTATTATTATTAACTAGCTCTACCCCATTGTAGCTTCGCTAGCAACCAGAGAATCCAATATGGAATGTAGATTGACACACAGACAGACATTTTGTCTTTATCTATACTCAGCTGGGAGGACTCCTGTGGGAGGACTCCTTGTTGGGAGGGCTCCTGTGGGAGGAGTCGTGTTGGGAGTACTGCTTGTTGGAGTCCATACATGTGTGATGAGCTTGTTTAGATCACAATAGGAGATTCCCGAAAAAAATATGCCAATGACACTCCCCCATGCAAGACCTTTCCGATGACGTATAAATCACATCTCTTCGTCAATCGGTTATTGCATTCTTGGCGGATAGACAGACATTTCCTCTTTATTGTATAGATTGTTTTTACGGTCTGGAATGCACTGTCTGAAAGGGCGGTGAAATAGATTCAATAACAATTTTCAAATTGGATGGGAATTGGATAGGAACTTGAAAAGGAAAAATTTGTAAGGATATGGGGAAACAGCGGTGGAGTGGCACTGATTGGGTAAAAGTGCCGGCATAGGCATGATGGACCGAATAGCCTCCTTCTGTGCTGTAATATTCCATGATTCTATAATAATCATCAGCGCATTCGATCTTAACATCTCAAAGAGCTTCACAGAAATTACTGTAAAGTGGAGTCACCGTGTATTCGTGGGCAAACACAACAGCCAATTTGCGCGCAGCAACATCTTACCAAGCAGCCGTCAAGAGACTGAGGGACCAGTCTAATTTTGGGGCTACTTCACTGGGAGAAATTCCCTGATTTATTCTGGTAGCCCCAGGGGAATTTTTATCCTGAACAAGCAGAGACAGGAGCGCGGTTAAAATCTCATCTGATGATCAACGCCTCTGACAATGTGTCGCTCCTCCCTGACTCTGTGTCTTGAGTATCAGCCTGGACTGAGCTCCGAGCCCCTGATGTGTGGCTCGAAATGAATCTTTCCCATCAGTTAGGGCTTGTGGCGGGCGGTGTGACAGTCTGATTTATCAGCATCAAGAGATTGGTTGATTTACAGTCACTGCGGCAGGCAGGGCCTGGGGGCCGGGGCTGTGGGCAGAGAGAGGGAGTGATTGAAACACAGTGAGAGAAATGCCGGCTGTTCTTCGGTGCCGGGCGGGCGGGAGGGTAATTGACTGAGTGCTCACAACTCACAGCCATCGCATTAAAGCATTGCTCTCAAACCAAACGTCAGTTGCCTGGCTCCACACGGGTTCAGCCTCCCCTCTCCTCTTCCCTTCCCTCTCCTTTCCTTTCCTCTACTCCTCTCTCCTCGCCTTCCCTTCTCCCCTTCCCTCTCCTCCTCGCTCCTCACCTCGCTAGTAACCCCGAGCTCACAGTCACTCTCCCCAGCTCAGCTCCAGAAACACTTTATCACCGTTGCTTCATTGGTTTTGCAGCCACATTTACTGTGTCAGTGCTTCTGGGTCAGGTTGTGGATTCAAGGCCCACGTCTGAGACTTTGAGCTTACAGTCTGGGCTGACACTACAGTGTTTGCCCACAAATACACAGTGACTCCACTTTACAGTAATTCCTGTGAAGCTCTTTGAGATGTTAAGATCGAATGCAATGATGATTATTATAGAATCATGGAATATTACAGTACAGAAGGAGGCTATTCGGTCCATCGTGCCTATGCCGGCTCTTTTACCCAATCAGTGCCACTCCACCGCTGTTTCCCCATATCCTTACAAATTTTTCCTTTTTAAGTTCCTGTCCAATTTCCAGTTTGGGGTGTGAGGCATTGTGTGGGAAATGCCGTCCTTCAGGTGAGACATTAAACCTAACGTGGCTGAACAAGTGGACGTTAATGACCCAAAGCGCAGTTGGAAAAGAGAAGGGAGTTTCTCTCTCCCGGTGTCTGGGCCAACAATCCTCTGGATAAATTGGTAATTCACTTTCTTGGCTGTTTATGGGTCGTTGCCGTGAGCAGAATTGACTGCCGTCAAAGACACATTCAGTACACTTGAGAGCGGCTCCCAGTAATGTACTGCGAGACATTTCAATGTTCTCAATCCTGTATCGAATGCACGGATTATTATTATTTTATGTTCCTTGTGGGACTGCAGTCACACGTGAGTGACCCAGTGTTGAATTACAAAGTTGTGATGGTTTCTGAAACTTGAATAAAACTGATGAATTATTCACCTGGATGTAGCACGGCCAGACCAGCACTGACTGGGCTGCTATACATGTGTAAGTGGAAGTAAGTGGGGTCTCCTTCAGGACTGAACTGGCTCCAAGGTGATGTGCCTGGCAATGAAAGGTTGGAATTGAGCCAGCTCCTGTTAACCCAGCAACCCAAAGCCCTAACAGGTAGGGTAGTTCTAGTTAGACAAGCAGCGGGAAAGCTTGCCAGACAGGATATAAGAGGAAGTTAGAGGGAGAAGGGAATAGAAGAGTATGGGAAGGCTTATCACGTCATTGAGACATCTCAAAGTGCTTCACAGGATTTGTTGTCACGTGGAGTGACTGTGTGTCTTGTGGGCAAAACGTGGCAGCAATGTCCTCCAAATAGTCACAGAGTGAGTGACCAATTTTAATTGTGGGAATGTTGGCCAGGACACCAGGAGAGAGAAACTCCCTTTCAAATAGCGCCCACCTGAGCAGGCAGGGGGAAATCTCATCCGAAGGACGGCACCTCTGACAATAAATCACACCCCCCTCCTCCAGCACTGCACTTGAGTCTCATCTTAGAGTATGTGAATCCAAGTCCTGTCGTGGGTGGGGCTTGAACCCACAACCTTCTGATCAGAGGCTAAGCGCTACCACTGCATCAGGCTGAGTATGGATTGGGTGGAGTCTGATGTGCAGAATACTGGACTGGTTGGGCTGAATAACCTGTTTCTGTGCTGAACAGTTTATGTAAATCTTTGTAACGGATAAGCCGAGCACTGACTGGGCTGTAGTAATAATAATAATAATCCTTGCATTTCGTACAGCGCCTTATCATTTCTTCGAGACGTCTCAAAGCACTTCACAGAATATACTATAAAGTGAATTGACTGTTATATTTTGTGGGCGAAATGTGGCAGCCAATTGCTCACAGCAGCATCCCACGAACAGTCGTGGATTAAGTGACCAAAATATTATCATTATTTTATTTTTTTGAAGGAAAACTTACCCCCGTAAAAGCGATCCTAAGCGATCAACTAACAAGCGGGTTCCTACTTACTGCTAGACATGTGGAGTGAGGAAACTTACCTATGGTTTACTGTAACAGTAAGCTTGCAGGAAGAGGCATCCTGTCTAATACTATTATCTTACGGCAAGAGGGCCCTGTCCTGTTAATTTATTAACAGCTGAGACGTGAGCTCCTCTCTCCGCAGACTGTGTTTGTTAACCAGATGATCCTGAATCTGGCTGTAATCCCTTAACTGATAGTGGATATAACAAAAGGAAGCTCACACACACAGTCCGCACCGTCAGTGAGAGATAAAGAAACTGTGTTTCTCATGTCAATTGCTCAAACTGCTTCACAGGAATTATTCTCGAGTGTAGTGACTGTGTATTTGTAGGCAACTGGAGCAGTTTTATTCAGAGCATTGTCGGCCAGGACACCGGGAGAGAGAGAAACTCCCTTCTCTTTTTGAATAGCGGCATGGGAAGTACTCAGTCTGTGTCTATCAGAGTCCAAATGGATGTAAATGATGATCAGAACCTGGGGAGTGGCACATTGAGGAGGCGCTGTTGTTTGGATGTGATGATAGATTAATGTCTCACTTGGCTGTTCAGGTGGTTCCCAAAGCACTGTTCTTTTGCATATAACGCCTTGCGACATCCTCCCGAAGTGAAAGGCACTATACAAATATTATTTTGTTGTTGTATATCTATATCTACAGAAGTCCTGTAGCTCAGTGGTTAGAGCACTCGCCTCACAAGCGAGAGGACCTGGGTTTGATTCCCAGCAGGGTGAAACCTTGGGCAAGTTTCCTTACTCCACACACCTGATAATAATCCCTCAAGAAAAAAAATAAGAAATTGGTCACTTCAATCATAACTGTTTGTGGGACACTGCTGTGCGCAACTGGCTGCCGCGTTTCACCCACAAAAAAAATAGTCAATTCACTTTACAGTATATTTTGTGAAGCGCTATATCAAGTGCAAGGTTTATATTATTATTATATCAATGGAATTTATATCCGAGTTTCCCCCTCCCTTCCCTCCGCTCACCCTGACCATTTCCCCCCTACTCGCTCCCTCCCTTCCCTCCCCTCACCCTGACCATTTCCCCCCTGCTCGGGTCCTGACCCAACTGTCCAGGGCTTTAGGACGTGAAAGGCGCTCTATAAATGGAATCTTGTTGTTGTTGTTGTTAATTCACACTCAGGATCTTCCGTAGCATTGCAGCCCGCATTGACCCCCATGCCTGGTTCTGCACTCCCAGCACTGTCGGAAAACAGGCGGGTTTTCTATTCTTAATCACTCAGAACTGTAGAAACCCTGTCAGCCTGGCTCAGTGGGCAATTGCATTTAAGTCATCTAAGCTGACCCTCTGGTGTATTGCCGGTTGCATTGTCACAGGTGCCGTCCTTTGGATGAGACGTTAAACCGAGGTCACGTCTGCCTGTTCAGGTGGATGTTAAAGACCCCGTGGTACTATTCAAAAAAGAGAAGGGGGTTTCTCTCTCCTGGTGTTCTGGTATCTCTCTCCAACAATCCCCCCAAATGGAATTTGGTCACCCGCTCCATGGCTGGTTTGTGGGACAATGCTGTGTGGTCGTTAGTTGCCCACAAAATACATAGTCAATCCACTTGTCAGTAAATCCTGTGAAGGGCTCTGAGACATCTTGCCAATGGGAAAGGTTATCTACTAAATACAAGGATTATATTCAAATAGAAAAGGGGCCAATGTGGGAAGAAAACTGACAGCCGAACAGTCGCCCTCTGTGCAGAATTGATTTATGTATCTACAA